GAGTTGGTTTTGAACCCAGTATGGGATTCTGAGATACATTACCAAGGATATTATTACAAGATAAATCATTTGCTTCATTGAACACATACAACAATGCATATTTCCACTGAGATCAGTGACCTTTGATGTGTATCACCAGTGATCAGTCAAGTAGAAACAGTCAAAATATTTTATCAGATTTTCTCAATTTTTGCATGATATTTTCATACAGGACACCTGTTGTTCAAACTCAGGGAAGACTTTATACTGATGAATAAGGTGACCAAGTTTGATAAAGTTTGGAATAGAATTAGTAAAGTTATCATGCACACAATAACAATTATTAACGACGACGACAACAACGACGACGACAACAACGCTGGACAAAATTTTTCCCTTAATATACCTTTCCCTTCCATCTTTGATGGTACGGGCAAGGTAATAAAATTACTGAATATACTTTTTGTTATCATGTGGAAATGCCGAGACTTTTTTTTTATTTTAAAATGTCAATTGTTTGTAACACCTATTTTAGAACTAAATGACAGCTAGCTTTCCTAAATTATCAAGTGATGTCTAAATTATCAAGTGATGTCTAAATTATCAAGTGATGTCCAAATTATCAAGTGATGTCCAAATTAGATTACACATAGTATAGAGTTCAGTCTCACCTCAAGTGGCTGCAGTATTTGTAATTTTGTCATGACTCTCACATATGCTTGACTATCTGAAAACTATAAAACCACACAGTGAATTCAGTACTGCATCAGGAAAAATAGATGATATGATGCAATACACTATGACAGGTAATATATACTGCAATATGTAAAACATACAATAGGATATGTTTCTTACGATGAATGAATAAGTGTTTGATTGATGTTACAATCATGCCAGGAACATGTTTAATAAAAGGACAGGAAAAGGACAGGTTTTTGACAGAAACAAGACTTGTCTGTGACATAACTAAAAGTATTTTAATTTTGTCACTGAACTTACTGTGCATGGGTGAATTGACATGTTCGTAATATGTTTCTAATGATATATTATTGAATTCAATGACAATTTTTCAGACAGGTTTATTTTGAAAACCCCTTCAATAAATAAAATTGTCAATCATTTGTAAGACCTACCAATCTATACAAGTTGATCAAATAACATGTATAAAACTAATATATTATATTCACAGTCATATTTACATGATATACAATATTCGAAAATCAATAAAATTGACAGCACACACTGTCTTGAATATCTCTTACACAATATAGTTACACAATATAGTTGTAAAATATAACTGATTAGATCAACTTGCAACAAACTGCAGTCTACTGCATACTAAATGATTAAAAGCAACATGATTATTTAAGAGCCATTCAGTCATCTTGAATCAGATCATGAAACAAATGTAAGTGCATATGTCGCCCAAAATATGTGATGTATTTGTGAAGTTTAAAGTGATCGAACCAGGCAAACAGGTGGTGACGTACACAAGGAGGTCAAAGCACAAGTCAACAATTTTAGACTGTGCCCGTACAGGGACTAATATTATGTTGTAGTCAATTGAAACAAGCACTTTTAATCTCCAGCTAGTCCAATGGACAGACAACTTAAATTTTAATTTAAACCCCTTGATACAAATTGCGATCAAAAATGTCTGCAGTCTGAGAAATCTACAGTTTCAAACAGGTTTGTGGAGGGATGGTAGGAACCTAAACTAATAGTTCTCGTCATCAGACTTCATTTGAACAGAGACTAGAAACAATTTACCACAAAACAAGGATCATAATAGAAAATCTTATTTAACATCTCACTGTTACCGTAAATTTTTTGTATGATTTTCTTGACTTGGATAAAACACGTAAAGAGTGATAACATTTTGATATATCGGTACACAATGTTCTTTCAATCTAAATAAAACAAGTGTGACAAAATCCTGGCCAAGCCAGTTTTTATAGTCATGTGAATGGAAGTAAGGCAATATGAAAGCAGTTTGAACATTAAATTGAATAATGCCAATATCTCAATAAAACATCAAGTAAGTATAGCAGCACAACTATTAAGTATATTTCATGCATCACTATACATGTGTTTGAAAATAAGTCAGATTAGATTGGCAATTCCCATTTGTATATTGGACATTGTACATCGTTTAAATATTATGAAAATAATCAGTCAGTCCATATGTTTATGTGAATGTATTTATTGACATGCAAAATATGACAGTTATATCAACAAAGCATAAATACTGTCATGTGCAAATAGACACACCTGGGATACAATCAGTTCTGGTTTCTTCAAATCAATACTAGCCATTCCAATCTGACCACGAGCTTGACCACGCCCTTCTACTATTGCTGTAAAAGACATTACAAACATAATGAAAAACAGGATTTTAATGCACCAAAGAAACATGAAGAACATTTACTAAAATAGAGACATCTTGCATACCACAAAATTCCACTGGTGCATACTGGTATCTGATGTATGGCAAGTGCTAGAAAACAAGTGTACTGAAGTAGATTGAGTGTCTAGCAGCAACATGTGTATATCTGTGTCTAGTTTGTGTCATGAAGTAGCACAAAAAATTATCATTCCAACCAAATCTGCAATAACATTATGGAGACTATCTGCATGCACCAGAGGTTGATGTTATGGGTTCAATCCGGACATTCACCAATTTTTTCAATAGTTGAGGAAGAACTTAATCTCCTCAAAAATGAATATGAAAACAACCGTAATGATTTACAATTTGCACAAAAATACAATCATAGCATATGAATACAACCACAGATTATATTTTACACATGAACATAGTGGTTTACAATTTACAGCAGTTAACAATCTGCATATGAATAAAATTGTAGTGGTTTACAATCTGCATATGAATAAAACAGTAGGGATTTACAATCTGCATATGAATAAAACAGTAGGGGATTTACAATCTCCATATGAATACACCTGTAGGGGTTTACAATCTCCATATGAATACAACTGCAGGGGTTTACAATCTGCATATGAATAAAATTGTAGTGGTTTACAATCTCCATATGAATTCATGTAGGGGTTTACAATCTGCATATGAATACACCTGTAGGGATTTACAATCTCCATATGAATACAACTGTAGGGGCTCACAATCTCCATATGAATACAACTGTAGGGGTTTACAATCTCCATATGAATACAATTATAAGGGT